TATTTTTTTAAATTTATTTTTAATTATTTTTATTTTTTTTTATTGTACTTCAGGTGAAGGCTTACAGAACAAATAGTTTCTCATGAAACAGAAGTACACATGTTATTTTATAACACTGGTTAACAACCACACAACGTATCAACCCTCTAACTTCTCAACCTCTTTTTTTTTTTTTGGTGTAAATTAATATTTTTTATATCATTATTTTTTGCAATTATTTTTCTCTAAATGGTCCCGGTCCTTATCATTAATTCTTAAACTTTTCCACTGTTGAGGTCTTGATCTTTCTTCATCTCTCTGTCTCCTAGAGAGTATTATTGGTTAATTTTATCAGAAAAGGTAAGTAAATTAAATAAATTAGCTGTATAGTCCCTTAATGTTTTCCTATTGAGAAATTCTTTCTGTTGTTTTTGCACATGAATGATAATGTGGATATGCACGAAATTCTTAGAGCAAAATATTTTCCCTTAAAACTTGTTGAAATTGTTCCATTGTCTTCTGAAATTTTTCTTCCTTTGTTGATGATCTTTTAATTTTTACTTCACCCTTGAAATGTCATAATGTTCTGTATGTCTATGTTTGATTTATGGTCATTATGCTGACCAAAACTATATTGGTATATTAATTTGTACACATACTTCATTTCAGGTAATGTTTTCTGAGGTATTTTATATCCATAATTATTGATTTCATTTATTACAAGTCAATTAGATTTTTTTCTTATTCTGTGTCCTCGATGTCTGTAATTTTGACTTTCGTTGATTTCTTCTTAGTCATTTTCCTCTTGATTCTTTGATATTATGCATTTTTCACTTGCTCATTTCTGCTTTCGATTTAGATTTTAATTCTGACATTGCTTTTTAAGTTTCTTTGTTTTCCTTTCTTATTTAAAGCAGATCCCTTTGCATCTATGCCTTCGTGTTGTGTTTTTTATTAACGTAGGCATCTGTTTCAGAAGCTTCTTTTTCATAAAGGCATGCCTCTTTTTTTTTGAGAACATCACGCAAATGTCTTATAAAATCTCTAGCTTGTTCTCATAAAAGTAGTATCTAAAATATAACTCTGCTTTTGAAGGTTCTAGACAATATTTCCTTTACCTTATGCTATGAATGAGCCTTTTAATTTGTGTTTTCCTCTTTAAATAAGGGGAAATATATTCAGCCCCACCTTTTGACAATAGACAGGGCAAGTGGAATTCACTTGGCTCCTCATCCTTGCTATTTCAATTCTAATAGCTTTCTGCTCTCAGAGGTGAGCTCAGTGTCGGCAGCCTTCAATTTTGTCCTGGTCTCCTGAACTGGGGATGTATCTTGTCTTTCTTAGACAGTTCATCCTCTTAGGAAGAGCTCACTGATGTTTAAAGACCTTATTTAAACAATGAAAAAGCATACTCCTATGCATGCATTGCTACCAGAACTTCTCATGATGACTAGGAATAGTATGATACAATGTGTATCTACCATGTTTCTGTGTTTGGGGCTCTAAGCTGTAATGTCTACATGATGAAGGAAGACAAGTGTGGATGTTGGAGTAAGGCAGCGTGGTACAGAAATCTGGTATGGGTTGCCCAGAGATGCTGACTGTTTTCTGGCCACCAGAGCTTCTATATCCTGGAGTAAGATATAAATAATGGAATTGAGTCACTATCTTTTTCTGTCTTGGTTCTGTTCTATTTCAGAGGGACTGGCATATGGTGTGTGTCTAAAAATGGGAATTTAATAGGATTTCATTGAGTCATCCAACGTAGGATCATCCCTCACCTTGAACTTATGATGCTAGTCCCAGTATTTTTAATGTATGTACATCGGTATATTAATTGGAACTTGGTAGAAGTGGTATCAGGCACATTTAATAACCTAAGTAAAATTATTTTACATTTGTAAGTAGATTTTAAAGGCACTTTCATTTATATTATATCTCTAGGGCTTAAATTTCTAAGCAGCTTGCTCAATTAACACGCTGTAAAACATGACATGAACTTCAGAAGAGTCTAGCACACTTTCCTTTACACCTCAGCTACAACAAGTTAATGAGTAATAATACCGTAAGCCAGTAGAAAATATTCTAATGAGAGAAGGAACTTTTTCATTCACACCACCAATGACTTTCCTCTTCGTTTGGGACCATGTTAACGGACATGAACAGCCGGTTCCTGCGAACGCTAACACTTATCTCATTATTAAACATGCTTACATTTTGTGGCATCAGAGAAAGGAAACATCTCAATGCCCAGAGTTTTCCAAATTCGTTGCTAAAGATCTCCTACTATAAAAATCTTCCAACTATACTGGTATGCCTCGACTTTTTAATTATTCTTAAAGATAAAGTGAAAGCAGTAGAGTGCTTAAGGGAAAAAAAAGCATTCAGTTTTTATGCAAGACCCCCAAGACCTTAATGAAAAGAAATCATAAAAGAAAACCACACCGTTCCCAAAGCTGTGATCCTTATGTGGAAAGGTGCTGGGATCTCCCTTATTAGAGATACTGCCCTTCAATGACCAGAAGGGAAGAGCATCGCCCCTCTTTCCTCCCAGTCGTTAGATTACTGCTGCTGAACTGTTTTTCCAGCATCTTTTTACATACAGTTTCAGGGGACTTGTAAACCAACACACCACACAACCAATAATACACATCAAGGCAATAATTCCTGCTTAAAACTCTTAAAAAATATTGGTGTAAGTAGAGTGGTATACTACTTCCTACTTAAGAAAATATAGCTATTTTTATGACTTCTTTTTAAAGCATCGTTGTGGGAAGATAATGAGAAGCAGAACACAGGGCTAACGATGGAAAAATTGGGTGGAAGGCGAGAAAGAATAGACTGGCCTTTGAAAGGAAAAGGGTTGAGGAATTGATGAGTTGTACTTTTAAAATGGAGTCCCTTGGCACGAACGGTTACGCGCTTGACTGCTAACTGAAAGGTCAGCAATTCACACCTGCCCAGTGGCTCTGAGGGAGAAAGAGCTGGTGATCTCCTCCCATAAAGATTACAGCCTAAAAAATCCTATGGGGCAGTTCTACTCTGTCATATGCGGTTGCTATGAGTCAGAAGCAATTCCACAGCACACAACACCACTTGTGAAACAGTAAATGATTGATTGTGGCATTCTTTAAGAGCCTGATTCCATCGTATGTGCACATTGAACTAGGTGAAAGGAAGAGAGCCTTGATATAGATTTGACCATCATCCTAGGATCCTACTTAGCCAGTCCTTAAGGGTACATGATACAATGCTCTGCTACAGTGACCATGTAGCACGTCAGCATCCTTCTAAAGATGAAAATCTAGAAAACTTTGTTAGCATATTAAAAGATGCTTCAAGTTCTAGGATCTGCATCAGGAAATGCCCTCATGAGTATTAGCATAGGCTTCTGTCTAGGATTATGTTACTTATAAACAGAAGCAGTTCCATGTATTTTATATTTTTATCATACTGTTTCCTTCGTAAGTATTATATCAAAGTTTTGAAGGTTAGTTAAGTAATTATAAGTAACATAATTAGAACATTTGAGGGAATTAAAAAGCTCAATTTCCTATATAAGGCAAGACTCTACCCAACTAATTATGAGATTGGGGGAAAAAAATGAATTTGTTAAAATAAATAAAAGCCATCCCAACCGGAATCACCATAAAGAATGTCCCATAAGTTTCTTTGTTTCCCATTCTAAAAAAAAAAACAGTTGCCATCAAGTTGATTCCAGCCCATGGCAACCCCAGGTGTTTCAGAGTAGAAATATGCTTCATAGAGTTTTCAACGGCTGAGTTTTGGAAGTAGGTCACCAGGCCTTTCTTTCAACGTGCCTCTGTGTGGACTCAAGTGTCTGCCCTTTCGGTTAGCAGCCTACGGGGTTAACTGTTTCCACCACCCAGGGATTCCTATTTCGGAAATAGCTCATGATAAAATGTATTCTCTGTCTTTTTCCTTGAGAACATCTCCAATCAGTCACATTTACACTGTACTGCACTTACTGTTAACAGCTCTTCAAGACCTACAAGGTGATGTTGAATATTACACACTTTTTTGGAGTTCCACTACCTCAAATGAATCTCTAAAAATCCTCCAAGATGTAAACTCGCACGTCATCGGCCCCTTAAACCCAAACACAGAGTATCGGATTTTTATCTCTGTCTTCAATGGCGTCCACAGCATCAACAGTGAAGTTGTGAGCGTGACCACATGTGACGGGGGTGAGTCCAGATTTTAAGGGATGCTCAGCCTCAGAGATGTGAATGAAATTGATTAATTCCTGTCGGGGTGAGATCACTCATCCTCCATTACAAAATTTCCGGTGTCGGGGGACAGGGAGGCTGGGCTAAAATGCTTAAGTGCTCTCTGTCGTCCACTGGCAGATCAATAAGTGGTCCCACTGAGACAGCAGCCCAAGGCTCTAATAATGAGATATTAGCCCAGTTTGTTCCTATTCTTTTCAGCGCATGCTTAGTTTGGAGCCAAGTTCACATCAATAAATGTTGACATTTAGAAACATTTTTTTTTTTTAAGATTTGCTCTCTGAAGCAGCTTTTCACAATGACAGCCAAGCACAGTGAGGGCCCTCCCTGAGTCACCAGAAATCGTAGGTGGAAGTTCAGCCACTGAGAAAAATTGCCTGTGACTCATTTCTAAGCCCGTTAGCAAAGGGGAGGAAGCAAGGGAAGCTACTTGTGAATCTGAAATGTGTTTCGAATGGACTTTCTAATCTTTTTGGCTTTATAAAGTCTCATTATAAACATTATAATATCATTACCTCCCAAGCAAGTGTTCCAGGTCATTAGGAGTGCACTTTAGGTATGGAACCCATCTTCCTTCCTGGTGCAATAGGTCAGCACCTTTTGTTTATAAAATAGAACGGATTACAAGGACAATTTTTCAACTAGTTAAGATGGGTTCTTATTATAAAAATAGCTTTTGCATAGTTATTTCTGACATGCTTGAATAATTGTGTAATTTAACGCTAAGCAAGATTTTTTTCCTAATGTCAGATTTCATCATTACCTATGGTAATCAACGTTCAAGATCGTTTACATAATGACAATATTGCATTATTGCTTCATATCGCTCGAGTTACAAGCTAGTAACGTCAAATGATTTTTCACGTTCCACCAGCCTCTGTGCGTTTGAGTTTTATATTTTGCTTAAGGAGCACGTTTTTTTTCTTTCTTTTTTTTATGGGAGGTGTGGAGTGAAGGGATGGAGAAGAGGCAAATAATAGATACGTGTTAGTGATGAAGATGCGTGAATAATTTATCATCATATCCTGCTGGTCACATAGTATTGAAGATTAACACTATGCTGGTGGTATAAAGCATTTTACCAACAATTCCTATGGTTTCTAACTGAGAGTATAATAAGCCAATTTATAGAGGACTACAGACTGTGATAACTTCATCAGAGGAAAGCAGATAAGCAGCGAACCCTTTGCTAAACCTAAACACGGGTCTGCATTTAGCTTGACAAGTGCTTTTTCAGAGACAGCTGGAGTTTATTCAGTTTCTTCCTTTAATTCCAGAGCCTCAGGGTATGCTTCCTCCAGAGGTTGTCATCATCAACAGTACAGCTGTACATGTCATCTGGACATCTCCTTCAAACCCAAATGGTGTTGTCACTGAATATTCCATCTATGTAAATAATAAGCTCTACAAGACGGGAATGGATGTGCCTGGGTCGTTCATTCTGAAAGGCCTGTCTCCCTTCACTATCTATGACATTCAGGTTAGAACATTGGCTTTTTTTTTTTTTTTTGGATGGTTAAGCTTATGGGTATGTTAAATAAAACATGCTGGGTGACTTCTCTAAGTGGAATCTTCATCTTTTTTTTTTTTTAAATTGTGGTTTAAGTGAAAGTTTACAGTTCAAGTCAGTTTCTCATACAAAAATTTATATGCACATTGCTATATGACCTTAGCTGCTCTCCCTGTAATGGGACAGCACACTCCGCCATTCCACCCCAGATTTCCCTTGTCCATTCAACCAGCTCCTGTCCGTTTTTGCCTTCTCATTTCACCTCCGGACAGGAGCTGCTTATTTAATGTCATGTATCTACTTGAGCTAAGAAGCACCTTCTTCACAAGTATCATTTTATGTCCCATAGTCCAGTCTAATCTTTGTCTGAAGAGTTGGCTTTGGGAACGGTTTCATTTCTGGGCTAACAGAGAGTCCGGAGGCCATGTATCCGGGATCCCTCCGGTCTCAGTTAGACCATTAAATCTGGTCTTCTTACTAGAATTTGAGTTCTGCACCCCACTTTTCTCCTTCTCTGTCAGGGACTTTCTGTTGTCTTCCCTGTCAGAGAGGTCATTGGTGGTAGCTGGGCACCATCTAGTTCTTCTGGTCTCAGGCTGATGTTGTCTCTAGTTTATGTGGCCCTTTCTGTCTCTTGGGCTAATATTTTCCTTGTGTCTTTGGTGGTCTTCATTCTCCTTTGCTCCAGGTGGGTTGGGACCAATTGATGCCTCTTAGATGGCCACTCACTAGTTTTTAAGACCCCAGACACCACTCACTAAAGCGGGATGCAGAACATTTTCTTAACAAACTTTGTTATGCCAATTGACCTAGATGTCCCCTGACATGGTTCCCAGACCCCTGCCCCTGCTACTCTGTCCCTCAAGGTGTTTGGTTGTATTCAGGAAACTTCTTAGCTTTTGGTTTAGTCCAGTTGTGCTGATCTCCTCTGCAGTGTGTGTTATCCTTCCTTTCACCTAAGATAATTCTTGTCTACTATCTAGTAAGTGAATACCCCTCTCCCTCCCTCCCCACCCTCATAACCATCAAAGAATGTTTTCTTCTGTGTTTAAATCATTTCTTGAGTTCTTATAACAGTGGTCTCATACAATATTTGTCCCTTTGCAGCTGGCTAATTTTGCTCAGCATAATGCCCTCCAGATTCATCCATGTTATGAGAAGTTTCATGGATTCATCATGAATGTGTGTTGGACTTTGTCAAATGCCTTTTCTGCATCAATTGATAAGATCATGTGGTTCTTGTCTTTTGTTTTATTTATGTGATGGATTACATTGATTGTTTTTCTAATGTTGAACCATCCCTGCATACCTGGTATGAATCCCATTTGGTCACGGTGGTGAATTATTATTTTGATATTTTGTTGAATTCTCTTGGCTAGAATTTTGTTGAGGATTTTTGAGTTTATGTTCATGAGGGATATTGGTCTCTAATTTTCTTTTTTGTGGTGTCTTTACCTGGTTTTGGTATCAGGGTTATGCTGGCTTCATAGAATGAGTCTTGGAGTAACCCATCTTTTTCTATGCTCTGAAATACCGTTAGTAGTAGTGGTGTTAACTCTTCTCTGAAAGTTCGGTAGAATTCTCCAGTGAACATCAGGGCCAGGGCTTTCTTTGTGGGTTGGGAGTTTTGTAATTACCTTTTCAATCTCTTCTTTTGTTATACATTTATTTAGTTGTTCTACCTCTGTTTGTATTAGTTTAGGTAGATAGTGTGTTTCTAAAAATTTGTCCATTTCCTCTAGGTTTTCAAATTTGTTAGAGTACAATTTTTCATAGTATTCTGTTACGATTCTTTTAATTTCAGTTGGGAATGTTGTGATATCACCCATCTTGTTTCTTGTTTGTGTTATTTGCTTCCTCTCCTGTTTTTCTTTTGTCAGTTTGGCCAGTGGTTTACTGATTTTGTGGATCTTTTAAAAGAATCCGCTTTTGGTCTTGTTAATTCTTTCAATTGTTCTTCTATTTTCTATTTCATTTAATTCTGCTCTAATTTTTATTATTTGCTTTCTTCTGGTGCCCTAGGGCTTCTTTTGCTGCTCTCTTTCTATTTGTTCAAGCTGTAGGCTTAATGATTTGATTTTGGCCCTTTCTTCTTTTTGGATCTGTGCATTTGTTGCTGTAAATTGACCTTTGAGCACTGCTTTTGCTGTGTCCTAAAGGTTCTGGTAGGTTGTATTTTCATTCTCATTTGATTCTGCGGATTTTTTTATTCCGTCCTTAATTTCTTCTATAACTCAGTAGTTTTTGAGCAAGATGTTATTAAGGTTCCATGTGTTTGATTTTTTTTTTTCCTTTTTCTGTTGATTTCCACTTTTATGGCTTTATGGTCAGAAAAGATTCTTTGTAATATTTCGATGCTTCAAAATCTGTTAAGTCTTGCTTTATGGCCTACTGTGTGGTCTGTTCTGGAGAATGTTCCATGTTCGCTGTAAAAGAAAGTATACTTGGCTGCTGTTGGGTGGAGTGTTCCATATATGTCTATGAGATCAAGTTGGTTGATTGTGGCATTTAAATCTTCTGTGTCTTTTTTGAGCTTCTTTCTGGATGTCCTGTCTTTTACCAAAAGTGGTGTGTTGAAGTCTCCTACTATTACTGTGGAGCTGTCTATCTCTCTTTTCAATGCTGTTGGAGTTTATGTATTTTGGAGACTTGTCATTGGGTGCGTAAATATTTATGATGGTTATAGCCTCCTGGTGTATTGACCTTTAATCATTATATAGTGTCCTTCCTTATCCTTTGTGGTAGATTTTACTTTAAAGTCTATTTTGTCAGAGATTAATATTGCCACACCTGCTCTTTTTTGAGTGTTCTTTGCTTGATATATTTTTTTCCATCCGTTGAATTTTAGTTTCTTTGTGCCTTTGAGTCTAAGGTGTGTCTCTTGTAGGCAGCATGTAGACAGATCATGTTTTTAATCCAGTCTGCCACTCTCTGTCTCTTTACTGGTGCATTTAGTCCATCTACATTCAGTGTGATTATTGATAGGTATGCGTTTAGTGCTGTCACTTTAATGTCTTTTTTTGTGTGTTGTTGACAGTTTCTTTGTTCCACTTAATTTTCCGTGCTGCGCTGTTTTTCTTTATGTATTTTCTTTTCATCTTTTTCTGGTTGTTGATTTTGTATTTGCTGAGTCTATGTTTTTCTTTTTTGATGTGTAGGATTGTTAGTTTCCTTTGTGGTTACCTTAATGTTTACCCCTATTTTTCTAAGTTTAAATCAAGCTTTTATTTCTTTATATCTCCTTGACTTCCTCTCCATATGCAAGACCTATGACTGCATTTTTTAGTCTCTCTTTTTTGTTTTAATGTTGTCATCTTTTACATAGTGACATCTCTGTTTCCTATTTTCAGTGTTTTAGCTTTGATTTATTTTTGTGACTTCCCTATCTGGGTTGATAGCTTGTTGCTCTGTCTTGTGTTCTAATCTTGGATTGTTATCTGATGTTATTGATTTTCTTACCAGAGAACTTCCTTTAGTATTTCTTGTAATTTTGGCAAGGTTTTTGCAAATTCCCTAAACTTCTGTTTATCTGGAAATACCCTAATTTCACCATCATATTTGAAAGACAGTTTGCTAGATATATAATTCTTGGATGGCAATTTTTTTCCTTCAAGGCTTTATATATGTCATCCCATTGCCTTCCTGCCTACACGATTTCTGCTAAGTAGTCCAAGCTTAGTCTTATTGACTCTCCTTTGTAGATGATTTTTCATTTATCCCTTGCCACTCTTAACATTCTCTCTCTACCTTTGGTTTTGGCAAATTTGATTATAATATTTCTTGGTCACTTTCTTTTGGCATCCACCTTGTGTGGGTTTGATGAGCATCTTGGATAGATGTCTTCTCCTTTTTCACGATATCAGGGAAGTTTTCTGCTAACAAATCTTCAAAATTCTCTCTGTATTTTCTGTTATCCCCCCCTGTTCTGGTACTCCAATCACTTGTAGTTTATTCCTCTTACTAGAGTCCCACATAATTCTTAGGGTTTCTTCATTTTTTCAAATTCTTTTATCTGATTTTTCCTCAAATAAGTTGGTGTCAAGTGCTTTATCTTCAATCTCACCAATTCTGACTTACATTGCCTCAATTCTGCTCCTATGACTTTCTACTGAGTTGTCTAATTCTGAAATTTTATTGTTAATCTTCTGGATTTCTGTTTGCTGTCTCTCTATGGATTCCTGCAGCCTGTGAAATTTGCCATTGTCCTCCTCTCTAATCTTCTTAAGTTCCTCTATTGATTTGTCTGTGTGTTCCTTGGCTTGTTCTGTGTTTTGCCTGATCTCCTCCCTGATCTCTTAAAGAGTTCTGTATATTATTCTTTTGTATTCTACCTCCATAATTCCAAGAAGTTCTCTTCCTCTGGAAGATTTCTTAATGCTTTGTTGTGGGATCTTGCTGAAGCCATCATGGTCTGCCTCTTTATGTGAGTTAATATTGACTATTGTCTCTGAGTCATCAATAAGTTATTGTATTTATTTTATTTTTGCTTACTGTGTCCTAGCTTCTTGTTTTGTTTTGTTTTGATATGCCCAAATAGGCTGCTGATGTGAGCTAGTTTGATTATTGGAGACTTTGAAGCTATAATGTCCTGCCACCAGGTGGTTAGATCTGTTACTAGGAATGCGAGCCCAGGAGTCTGTTTATTTTTTTTGTATGGATTCATCTCAGGTGTCCAGATAGTTGATCACCAAGTGTGTGATGCAGGCTCTCACCTACAGTCCTAGGCTGGCAGGGGTGATTGGAGTAGGCACAGGTATCTGGCTGCTGTAGGGAGTCATGCACTGAGCAAGGAAGGGGGCTGACGGCTGCCCCTGAGTGTCTGGGAGGAAAACGTGTCCCTGTTCCCTAGAGTGCATGGGTGGGGGGTTTTTACAGCTGTACTATGGGTACCCAATGCTTTTGGCTGTAAGGACCGGGAGGCATCATTTATTCTTGGACCACTGTTGCAAGTGGCTAGGTGACGTAGGTGGAGCCACTAGTCCTAAGGCCTCTGATGTGGGTAGGTGAGGACCCTGCTTAATGAGCAGAGTAGTGTCAAATGTCAGTAACCTGCCACTCCACCATACAGCTGATACAGTGAAGTTAGGCTTCAGGTATATACCCTGTTGTACTGTGGTAATGAGGGCCTATGCTACTGAAATGGGCCCACACAGGTCTATGCAGGGGTGAAAGGCTTTCAAAGTCCATGGACCCCTTATGCCTGTGCCTAGGCAAAGGAGCTGTGCCTGCTCTGAGTTCCTGGCTTAGGGGAGCTAGCAGATTATTTTTTCCTGTTTGTTAATTTGCTCCCTCTCCAAGGCTGGGAGAATGGCTCAGGGCACATAATGGGTCCTACTTCTGGCCCAGGGAAGTGGCAATCTCTGAAGCCGGCCCCAGCACCCGGTGTAGAGCAGGGAGGGAGCAGGTAAATGGGAGAGTGGGTCTTCCCAAATAGCGTGTTTTTTTGGTCCGTGCAGTAGGTTAAACACATAAAGTAATCTTTTGCTGACTGAATGCTACTTTTCACTGGCTTTGGAGGCCTGAGCAGACTCTCCACCACTTGGTCTATCTCAACATGGAAAGCGCATCCCAAAGGCCACTGCCTGCATGCCAGCCGATCTGGCTGGTAGGGCGCTGGCTCCCCCTGGTCAAGTCTGGCAACTCCTTGCTGCTTCTGAACGGTCTTTCCCTCCCCCTGCCACTCAGTCGAATTTCTCAACTTTGCCTTTGGTGTTCAGGGCTCCTAGATTGTCATATATGATTGATTCAGTTGTTTTTTTGAGTCTTTGTTGTAAGAGGGACAACCGGAAGCACCTGACTACTCTGCCATCTTGGCCCCACCTCCAGAATCTTCCATCTTGAGTAGAGATTATTTGGTGGCAAAGGGAGAGAGAACAGGGAAATTGATCAGGAGTATGTCTGTTTGCTGTGGGCAAACATGTGGGTCTCTGGAGAGAAGATCATGATCATATGGAAGATGACGGTGATCAGAATGATGATGATATTCTTCATTTGTGCAAAATGAAGCAAATCACACATTCACAATATGTCTTGCCAAGTAGTATGCCTTTTTCCTGGTTCTTTTGCTGTTATTAAAATCAGAATCCGTCTCGGAAGATGGGGACATTCTTTCTATTCCTCTGTCTGCTACTTACTAATTTAACAACTTCAGGGAGGTTATATAACTTCACCAAGCCTCAATCTTCTAAGGACAATGGGCAAGGTGACTTAAAATATTCTACCACCTCTAGTATTCTGTGATCCTAAATGCAGCAAAACTGGAAAACCGGTTGCTGTTGAGTCGATTCCAGCTCTTAGGACCCTACAGGACAGAGTAGAACTGCCCCATAGAGTTTAAAAGGAGCAGCTGGTGGATTCAAATTGCTGACCTTTTGTTTAGCAGCCGAGCTCTTAACCATTGTGCCACCCGGGCTCCTCTAAGTCCAACAAGAAAATATAAATGAGCAACTACCAGACAAACAAATATTAAAAGTTTTTATCTGAGGATAAAATGTATGTATACAATCATCATTCAGCAAATGTTCAATGACTCCCACCTATGTGAGAGCTGTTGTATTTAAACTTTTTTGCCCCTTGGACCTCTTTGAGAATCTAATGAAGTCAGTGCACCCTGCCCTAGAAAAATGGTTATGCACTTTATGACAAAATTTAACATGAAATTTCAGAGAATGTATTGACCATCGGAGGCCCAGCTCACAGACCCTCTTCAGGATCTATTGACCTTAAAAGTAGAAAAAAATATAGAGAATAATAAGGCATATAAAACAAGAAACGTATCCTTAAGGAGTTGGAAATCTTGTTCGAGTGCTAAGACACAAAAGATACCAAGGCCAAATGTGCAAACAGATGATAATAGGAGAGCCTTCAGAAGCTTGAAGTTTATACAGAAAGATTGCAGTTTAATAATTTTTTTATTAAACTACGCTACTTCTAAAGTTTTTGTAAATTTTTTTTTGCAAAAACTTTGTAAAGAACTTTCAGGAAGACGGTAAAGCACAGAAATTTTATTTAACCACAGAAATTTTTCACTGGCCCTGTTTATTTAGTAATGCTATCTCTTTCATTTTCCTGACACCTTCTTTTCCTCTCATTTAAAGGTAAAACATACATAATCGTTTGACTACAATGCATGCATTAGCCTCCTCCACTATTACCCATAGTACTTGCTTTCCCAGAAAACTAAATAAAAAGATGTGTGATAGAAAAGAAAGGTATATTTATTATTTTTCATCACATTCCATGATTCCCGTTAACCCACCTAAATTATCTTAGCATGGAGTATATAGACTAATGTTTATGTCCATTGCTCTTAGAGTGAGTCCATGTGGGTACATAGAACATAGATCAAATTATAAAATAACAATCACACTCAAAATAATTACAAATACAGTTTTGTGAACAGGTTAGCATAGGAAATTGACAGAGGATTTGCTGTATTATCCTCTTCAAGGGCTAACCAAAAGGTCAGCAGTTTGAATCCACCAGCCACTCCTTGCAAACCCTATGGGGCAGTTCTACTTTGTCCTATAGAGTCGCTGTGAGTCGGAATCGACTTGATGGCGGTGGGTATGGAGAAAGCAGGCTGAGCTCTCAAAAGGCAGCTGATGTATTTGCTTTGTTGTTATTTGTTGTTGTTAGGTGCCATCAAGTCCATTCCGACTCATAAGGACCCCAAGTTGCTATATTAGGACTCACAACACAACCTGGGGCTGAATTCACTGGGGGTTGTGCAGGCAAGTCCAGCTCTTTCTCTGACCATGGAGCAAGATTTGATATTTAAAGGTGTCTCAGTCCTGTTCTAGCATGAGAGGCTTCATTCATACCTATTGGTTTGAGTTAGTGGTAGAATTTTGATCAGATTTGAGATGTGGAAACAGATGAGAAGCTAAGACACCAAATTTGATTTCAATATATGAATTTTGTTATTTGTGACTGCGACATTCCTATTCCTGGCAACTGTACTATTGTGAACCTCTTCACAGTTCAGGAATACTACAGCTGAAATAACTGTTGCATTTCTGGAAAACTGAGTATTAAATTTCAATGATTTTCATTAGGATATCAGAGGTAACTTGACTTCATTTAAACTATGCATTTAATTTAAATACCTAATACTTTAGAATTAAGGTTCTTCATTTTAACCCCCTCTGTAAAAGAGCTACTGGTTTTAAAGCGGACACATAGATGCGCCCAAATATCTACTTTTTAATAAATATTTTTACTTATTTGTTTTTAAAAAGATCAACAATTTTAATGTTGTTTCAATTTTATTTCTCGTTAATATGAACATAATAAGCCTTCACATTTTATGCAAAACAACTTTAGTACCAGAAATATGCTCCGAAGATGGAGTCTTGGAATATGATTTTAATAAGCCTGGGAAAAGTACTGACACTTTCTCGGAATTCAAAAAAAGGAAAAAAAAGCTTTCTCAAGAAATATTTGAATACAGCTAAATAGTTTATATTAAGCATTTGGAAATGATTAATATTTAGATGATAAGGCAACAGGCCACATTGCAAACCTCCAATTAGTTATCTCAAATATTACCAACTTGATCATATTCCGTGATTTCTCTGAGCCCCAATTTGCAAACTTGTGAAGACAGAGTTGTGAGGACTCAATAAAATAATCTGCGCAAGCACCCACCGTAGTACTTGGCACATATTAGATACACAATACATTCAGCTGAGTTGATTCTGAGTTATTTCATTATGCATCAGATAGTCAAATGTTTCCAATATGTATAATCTTTTATTTTCTTTAATTTTATTATATTAAGTGTATTTTGTGCTCATCTACCTTTAAGTTATTTGGGGTTTAATTGGACATACTCAGAGCAGAGGGTCTTGAATGAGTTTAAATATCTACTAAGTCTTATCTCAAAATTCTCTATGGCCTAAGTAAATGCCACACTTAAACAGCATTATAAAAATATGCCTCAACTCCCATTTAGGTGCAAACTGCCCTATGACTAAAATGTCACATCTATAAATAAATACAATAAGAATCACGTTTGTCTTTCCCTAAATGCCGAAGAAGCAAGAGAACTGCTTCACTTAAAAGCTCAACATTAGTACTTAAGATTCACGGTATCTAGCTTTCCTCCACCATTTATTTATTAGACACTGAAAGTAAATTAGCATTGGAAAAAGTACAGTTCCTCTTTGGTTTATCCTTTAATTGAGAGCAGAATGATGTAGCTTTGAGGATGTTCCACTAGCTATCTTTTGTACATTCATTTTTCTCCTCTCCCTCTTGCTGAGTGTGATCCTCTGTGTTACTAATATTTGATGAACTCCATTTCTAATCTCTAGTTATTCCACCGCCGTTACTTTTTATACAGATTAGGTGGCAGAATTAAACAAGTGAATGATGATTTTCTGCTGTGATTAAGGTAAAAATACAATTGATGCTGGAACAAATGGATGTAAAATAGCTCAGCCATATTGGAAGGCTTCTTTAGCCCTCATTTTTCTTCTATTACACGTTAGCATTTAGGCTATTTGTTGTAAGGTGTCAAGACTTCCAGAAGATATCATCATTACATTACTTGGTTGTAGATCTAGGGAGTGGTATGCAGTGATAACCTATTATGCTTGCAAACTGTCACGAAGCATCTTTCATTCTTTGACTGTGCACCAGGTAGATTAATATGTCTGTCTCTTTCTGAATGGTTGGAACCAGAGACCAAGCCTCACCATGTTAATCACTAATCAATTGTCCTGAGCCCAGTTCTGTACTCTACTCTGAGCTTGTCCCACTGAAGTCAGTCAACATCAAAGATGAATATTTATTAAACCCCCAGAGGCTATAGAGCACTAGAAGAGATTCATATTAAATGAGAGTGGGTGGGATTCAGCCCACTGTCAGTCTTCATTTGAAAATGGCTGGATTTATTCTTTTCTAAACTAATGTTTGCAGGTTGAAGTCTGCACAAGGTATGCCTGTGTGAAAAGTAATGGAACCCAAATCACCACTGTGGAAGATACTCCAGATGATATACCAACACCCACAGTTCATGACGTCACTTCAAGGTACAGATTTCTTTCTGTTCGTGTAAAGAACTCTGATCATAAGCAATGAAACTAAAAACCAATAGTATTCTCCCAGCCATGACAATCTCATTTATTAAGTTGCTTTAAATATGCGTGTAAATCGAATTTTTGATATTATTGCACAGGTGTTGATCTTCATTGGCCAGATTCCCCGAACATTTTAAGCTTTGATTTCCCTGATTGCCCAGCCTCACTTCCCATTACTTTGTAATCTATGAACAAATACTTAAATACACTAAAGAGCCCTTTTATTTAAATGTGACCTTCAGTGAATCCTTCCGTAAGGCAAAGAACACAATTTTAGTTACAATGACTAACTTCTAACTTAATGTCTTTGGAAAAAAAATTAGATTTACATGTAGCAGATTGCCCTAAAGCTAGGAATACCTGTAAGATAAATAGGGAAGATAATCTGTGAATCAACATTATCAATGTCATCAAAATCTTGGTAGATTCCCTTTATTTTTCTGTATTCTTTTGTTACTGAGAAATGACCGTAGTATGAAAGCAAGTCCCTTTACAGTTCGAAATTAGCAATAAGAAGAAGGTTTAATGTCAAATTTCCCAAGCTAAAAATGTGATGATAATTGTTCATTCCTCTACATCAAGTTGAGGCTGGTGAGAGAAATCTGAGTGCTCCCACATCATACTTTTTTTTTTTTTAAATATTTTATTGTACTTCAGGTGAAGGCCCACAGATCAAATAGTTTCCCATGAAACAGTAGTACACACGCCGTTCCACGACATTGGTCAACAACCCCACAACACATCACCCCTCCAACCTCTCAACCACTTCCTCTTGGTGAAGATACACATAGCCAAGGATACACTGCTTCAAAAATTTCTACACACACAGTTCAGTGACACTGACCACGCTCTTCCAATTGTGCTGTTGTTCTCACTTAAGATGAAGACTTACAGAACAAAACAGTTTCTCATTTAACAGTTACTACAAATGTTGCCCTATGACAATGGTTAACCATCTCACAACACATCAACAATATCCTTACTCAACCTTGGGTACCCTATCACCAACTTCCTTGTCCTCTTCTGCCCTCTGGCCCTTGTCGCTGGACTCCTGTACCTCGTTAGTCTCATTTGGTTTTACGGGGCTGTCCACTCCCAGGCTGAACAGTGAACCTCGGAGGTAGCTTCACCACTGAACTCAAAGGGTGTCTGGGGGCCATATTCTCAAGGTTTCTCCAGTCTCCTTTAGGCCAGTAAATCTGGTCTTTTTGTGTGTGTGTGTGTGAGTTAGAATTCTGCTCTACATCCTTCTCCAGC